TTCACGGTGTCCCTCTCCGTCACCGGCCTCCTCAGCCGCACCTCCCCGGTTTGCGCCCCCACGGCGAACAGCCCGGGGTCCGTTGCCTTGAGCAGGTGGTAGGAGAGCCACGAATTCTGCCCCGAGTCGGCGTCGACGGCGACCACTTTGGTGACGAGGTAGCCCGCCTCGGCCGACGTGGGCACCAGCTCGCTGGACGGCGGCGAGCTGTCCTGCGCGGGGTGCAAGACCACGGGCGCGTTGTCGTTTTCGTCCACCACCAGGATGCGGACGGTGACGTTGGCGCTGAGGGGCGGCGAGCCCGAGTCGGCGGCGCTCACCACCACCTCCAGCTGCCTCACCTGCTCGTAGTCCAGCGGCCGCAGCACAAACACGTTCCCGTTCTCGGAGTTCACGGAGACGTAGGAGCGCGGGGCCCGCTCCGCGGGCTGGGCCGGCGCCAGGGAATAGGTCACCTTCGAGTTGGGCCCCACGTCCTCGTCCGCGGCGCGGACGGCCCCGACGAGCGCGGCCGGGTCGTTGTTCTCGCGCACGTACATGGTGTACGACGTCTGGTTGAACACGGGCGCGTTGTCATTGACGTCGGAGACGTCCACCGTGAAGGTCTGCGTGGTCGTGAGAGCCGGGGACCCCGCGTCGGCCGCCGTGACGGCGAGGATGTACTGCGCCGTCTGCTCCCGGTCCAGGGTGCTCGCTGTCACCAGCTCGTAGTAATTCTTATAGGCAGGCCTCAGGGAGAAAGGGGACACAGAGTCTTCCAGGGAACAGACCACCTTCCCGTTGTCCCCGGCGTCCCGGTCCTTAACGACAAAGAGGCCCACCACCGTCCCGGGCGACGCGCTCTCGGCGAGCGGGCTGCGGAAGGAACTCACCACCAGCTCCGGCGCGTTGTCGTTCACATCCACCACCTCCACCACCACCTTGCAGAGCGCCGAGAGACCCCCGCCGTCTGTGGCGCGCACGCTCAGCTCGTGTTTCTCCGCCGCTTCGAAATCCAGAGGCCGGGTGACACGAATGTCACCAGTCACGGCGTCGATCTTGAACGCCGGGCGCCTGTGCCCCACCGCCTGACTGAACGAGTACCGTATCTCCCCGTTAACTCCCACATCCGCGTCAGTCGCGACCACGCGCAGAACCACGGAGTCCTCCGGGGCGTCTTCCAAAACCTGGCCTCTGTACCGTTCCTGCGTGAAGACAGGGGCGTTGTCATTTACGTCCAGGACAACGATGCGGATCTGGGCCGTCCCGCTCCGCGGCGGAGAGCCCCCGTCCGTGGCAATGAGGCTGAAACCAATCTCCGCTTGCTCCTCTCTGTCCAGCGGCTTGGCCAAGACTAATTCGACGGAACTGTCGCCTTCACTCTGACTCCGGAAAGAGACGCTGAAATACTCGTTCTCGGGAGCGATGCTGTAAGCCTGCAGGCTGTTGCTGCCAACATCCAGGTCCCGAGCCCCCTCCAGCGGGAAGCGGGACCCCGGCTCGCTCGTCTCCAGGATCTTTAAAGTCACTTGTTCCTCCGGGAAAACTGGCGAATGGTCATTGATATCCTCTACGGCCACTTCGATCCGAAAGAACTGCAGGGGGTTTCCCAGCAGTAACTCAAAGGAGAGCGTGCACGTGATGGACTGGCCGCAGATCTCTTCCCGATCTATCCTCTCCCTGACGGCCAGGCGGCCGGTCCTGCGGTCTAACCGAAAATGCTGCCGGCCGTCCTCCGAAACAAGCCGGGCCTCGCGAGCCCAGAGCTGCGCCAGGTCCAGCCCCACGTCCTTCGCGACATTAGCGACCAGGGAGCCGCTCTCCCTCTCCTCGGCGACCGAGTAGCGAAGCGGCTCGGAGCGAACATGCGGCACGGAGAGAACAACACAGAGACAAAGCACTTGCCTTGCAGACGCCATGTCGGGCCCGGCAGACACCCTGCGTCTCGCGGATCGCCTGCCCGGTCCTCCGGGGAGCTTCCCG